TAGGTGATTGATTATGAGGAGGAGGAGGCTAAGAGGAAAAAAATTAAATAAATGATAGTAATAAAATGTATAAATAAATTGAAAAAACATTTTATAATAGATAATATAGTTTGGTGGAGTGGTGTGCTGTTACACAAGTAGATTTTTTGTTTGTTTGACCGAAGGCATCACCTTTCCAAATCGCCGAGTTTGACTGGTATGTCACCGAAATAATATAAATTTGCATGTTGAAGGCCCGCTTTCAAGTAATCTCTTATCTTTTCTTTTTTAATTTTTTTTATATAAAAAATAATTAAACACATGACCTAATACAACTTATCAAAATTTTTTACCGCTAGATCTAACTTACCTTTGTAATACAACCTTTTCTTTTTTTTACGCCTCTTTATCTCTTTATAAAAAAATAAAATTCTCTATTTCTTTCTCCAAAATACCCTTCTGCCCAAACCTACTTCAAGACCCAATGAGACACTGCCATCGCACTTATACACAACACAACCCAACCCTTTTCACTTTTCATTCTCACATAGGCCTTATAATCTGCGCTTTTCATTGAAAAAAGTCGTTGCGTATCAACAGATATTACACACTTCATTCTTACATAGTAATTCTATTAATGATACACTTTTCAGAATATAGAAATTATTGAAGTAACCACCATATTGTTATCTAATCAAGATAATAAGAGTGAAAAGAAAAACAACAAATTAACAATATTCAATTAAATAACTTTTTTTAATTTGTTTCAGTCCCGGTAAGGGTTTTTTCTTTTCTTTTCTTTTCAAGAAGCAGTATCTAGTATTTGATTGTACTCATTTTATTGAAAATCATATTACTTCAACACTTGTAGTTTTTTTCAAAGGACAGAACTTGTCAATTCTTCTAAATTGTTAAAAAAAAATTGGTATACTTGCGTCTTAACAAATTTTCACCCAGGCACCAACATGCTGTAGATGCGACATTGAAATCATTGACATGCAATATTATTATAAGAGAGATTAAGTAAATGATTCTCCATTTATTAGTAATTAGTTTCAATATAAATAAATAATGATCTTAGACAAACTTTACTTAATGTTAGAGATTTAAATTTTTTGTCATCACTTTTTAATTTGTTTTACCCAATTATCACCTTAAATCTAAAATTTTGTGATAAATTCATTGTATAAAAAATAAATAAAGCATTCATTAATTCATTCAAGAAAAGAAGTGCAATTCAATTTTTCACATAAATAAAGTATTCACCCTCTAATAGAAGACACACATTTTTCACTTGACTCATGATATAACTAGCAGTACAACTTAATTTGAAGTAGTCAACTAAGATTTTTGTTTTTATAAATGTGGCTGGCCAAGCTATTTGGCCATTGAAAACAATTGGATCAATAATCTGATATATCCCGTGAAGAGCAAATCATATACTGAATTGATCATATAAGTGAAGTGTTTATTAAAAAGGTCAACACATTTAATCACTTGAGCTATGAATCGGAATCTTCAATATATGTTTATTTAACCTTCTTTGATTCAAACTGATTGCACTGTGGGGAAGTTTGTTGGAATTTTGAAGCAACTTCAGAGTTGGAATTTTGAGGCCGTGGAAGGGAAATTTCGACCGGGAATCTAGAAAATAAGAAAGAAATTGAAATAACAAAAATTACATGTGATCTTCTGGTCGGTCTACGTGGAAAAGTTTAACCAATCATATTGTCCTGAACTCACACGGACTCACGTGGCACACTTTGAAATTTTCAACTAAGATCACCTGCGAGGCCGTTGACTATCAACCTTTGGTATAGATGTTTCACTAAATGTACGAGAATACCCTTTTGTTATAACCATGATTAGTTATTGATCATAATTCATAATAAAGTCAAAGACATTCCTAATCGGTGGTAGTCAAAATCGGGATTTTACCTAAAATCAAAAAGAGAATAAAAAATCGTAAATCGTAATACAAATCGTAGATTTTACTTTCACTCTAAAATTAAATTTTTATATACATATGCTTATGTATAATTTTTTTTTAAGAAAAATAGACTACATGCCATCATCCTTATACATTTGCATATAATTGTCATACTCTAAGGGTCTAAGCTAATAAATCATTCAAGTTATTATCATCGAAGACATTCTGTTCCACGTGATCTTCAACTACATCATTCAAAATTGACTTCATCTAAACTTTTATCATGAGATAAAGTTCCTTCATTTTCCACAATCCACTCATCTTTGGATGAAATATCAGCAATGTTATATTCAACAATTTTTCTAACTTGCTTAACATCATTCCAATAGTTAAAATCGGGATTTAAATCTTAAAATCGGGACTTAATAAGTAAATGTCTAAATCGGGATTTTATATTGGAAACGATTTTAAGTGAAATCTAAATCGTTTTAGCAAAAATAAATCATTAAAATCAGGATTTTAATATTTAAATCCAGATTTTAACTACTATGGTCAAGCTAATATGTTAGTAAAACAAAGATCATTATTTTTAAAGGAAATGCATACAACAATACTTAACAAAAAAATAAAACTTCAAAATTTTTAAAAACTGAAATTTTATAAAGAAAAAAAATAAGAGAAAAAGCTCTAAACAAACTTTTATCATTTGGAATTTTGTGAGTGAGTGAGTTCAGGTCAAGAGATAGTTGATAGGATAGGTAAAAGTATGGGTTGAAACAAGGCTAGAGCAAATTAAACAGTGGTATCAAATTTCCCTTAACACAAATTTTTTAACTTTTTTTTTGGAAAAGAGTAAAGAGAGGTGGATCCTCTTACCAAGTATATATGATAAGTTTTAGCAAAATTGAATATTGCATCAGCCATCTTATTACAACTACGTACATCAAAATAACAATCAAAATAATGTATAAAACTGATATATAAAAAATAATAATGTATAAAACTATGGGATGCAAAGAGGTAGATGTCATTAAAGATTGAAATAATCATCGAGGCCTTCCATAATGCATTTATAAATTAACGTTAGCAGCATCCCCCTTCAAAGAATAGTATTATTCTTTCAAGTAATTAAAGCAAGACCTTCGATCCAGTTTTAAACGAAGACGCTCCCTCGATTCAGTCATGAAGTACTTTGAGCGTCCTGCGTGGGAAACAAAGTGCCGAGAGAGACATGCATGAACATCGTTAGTGTGAGAAATTAGAGGAAGCAAAAAAAAAAAGAAAAAAAGAGAGGAGACTTTGACCGAATGATGGTAGCTCAGTTCGCGTCACGGAACTGAGCAAGTGGGAGCGAGATATGTGTTCGATCCTCCACAGTACTGTTTTTGGGAGGAATTTAAACCTTAATTTCGAGACTTACTTCAAACCAAACTAGTCATGAAACGATGAACCGATTGAAATATCTCTAAAAAAAGAAAAAAGAAAAAAAAGGAGACTTTGTGAAATTTTAATATTTATTAAAATGTGAGTTGTATAAGAATCTTTACACTTATTTATACTTCCATGATTGTAGCATATATAAGAGTAATACATGGTATAAGGCAATTTTAAAATTGGGCTTATTTGTAAGGTACAAATCCTATATATAAACAGTATTATGACTAGGTCATTCATAATTTACAGATACTAAATTTATTATGCACTAATTATTACTCGCTAACAATTAGAAAATTGAGAATCAAAATGTATACGTTCAATGAATTCCACTTCAAAGCATAACGATAGCAACTATTCCCCACGTCAAAGTGGTTGTGAAAATAAAAATACTAAATAATTAACACTTTTTTTTGTCATGTCACTTGTCAGAATGAGTTAACATTATTATTAATTCTTAAATGGATGAGTGACTTTCTTCATTTTGACTTATTAAACAGTCACTTTTTTTTTGTAAGCATTAAACAACCGCTTAAATCTTGACAAATTCTGTCAAAAAAAAATAAAATAAAATAAAACTGCATATATTCTTATGAAAATGGCAAGAGTGAGTTGGAATGATGTCTCCACAAATTAACACGCCACATAAAACATAAGACTTAATTAAAGGGAAAAAATTCACTTTTATTAGCTATATACGGAGGTCATAGAGTAAGTCACTTTTTCTTTCCGTTATCAAAATGGTATATTAAACTGTAAAAAATAATTTAAAAAATGTATAAAATTAGGGTAGGAAGTTATCATTTTCTATAACTACAAAAAAATAAGAAGCTTGCGGAAATCAAAACCCTCACGACATTCATAATGAAATGCGGTGCATTGTGTGATCAATTTAAATAGTAGAATGATGGAGGAGTTGTGATTCTATATCAAAATAATAAATTGAGTAAGCCGTTTTTTTTCTTCCAAATTAGATTAAAAATCTTTGTAATAATTTAAATGAACTTTATACAATCAACTTGTTACGATAAATCTGTGATTATAATATATGAAAAATTGCCTATAAAATCATTAATATTTTTTTTCTTATTTACCTTCTAAAATGAATATATTGTCAAACAGCTCGTACATCTTTGTTAATGTCATGTAGTTAAATGGAGGGAGGCGGCATTAATTCACGTTTCCGGGTCTAATTTGGTCTGTGTCGTTGCAACTGGTAATGATACGACATATTACACTACTGATTTAATAATTATGTAACGTTTCTCAACCTACATTAAAACAACATTAAGAAAAAACATGAAAAAAAAAAACTTACAATATTTTCATAGTATTTCATGACGGCATTAAAAATGGTCTCAAAGTATTAATTAATAACGATTTGCGTATTTTCTACAAAAGAAATGAATCTGTGCAATGCTGTATTTCGTTGTTGAATGTTGACTAGCTTTCTTCAAGAATGGCACTACCGAAATTACAGAAGAAAGAAAAGGGTAGTCAATGGAACTTATCAGTCATTCACCTTACACTTATATGATTAGATACAAAAAAAATATATTAAATTTGAAAATCAATCAATCCAAGAACTGTGATCTTTGGACAAACAGCGTCATTGAATTTCCTTTCCTAGAGATAGAAAATAAAAAAAATAAAAAAATAAAATAAAAAATTAACAAGAGAGAGAAAGAAAAGAAAAGAAAGAAAGACGAAGTCTCTGCGAAACAAGTTTGACCTTCTCTCAGCTATCATCCATGAATCAATGATCAATCTCCTTTCGTCCATGGTGTCAAATACGCGCTAAATTCCTCTTTCCCATTCCCCCAAAACCCTTCCCTTAAATCACCCTCTCACTCCTCTTCCCATTTCTCAATTCTCCCTAATTTTTTCTCCTGCTCTAGAATTTCCCCCTTTTTCTTCTGTTTTCGCTGTACCCATTACGAAAAGTCAAGTTTTTTCATTTTCATTTTTCATTTTTCATTTTTTCTTCTATAATTATTACCCTTCTATTTCCCCCACTTTTTTTTTTTGGGAAATCATATACGGATTCAATCAGAAGCTGGATCTGAGAATTCAGAATACCCATCTGAACGAAGCCTCGTAAAAACATAACTTTTTTCAATTTCGATTCATGGGTAATTGCTGCGCAGCCCCTCCTTCGGGTTCTCGCGACGAGACAACAACGAAGAAGAAGAAAGGGAAGAAGGAAAAGGAAAACCCTTTCGCGATCGATTACGGCTTCAACACCACCAACAACGGGAAGGGACCGAAACTCACCGTTTTGAAGGACCCAACGGGGAGCGAGATCGAGGTTCGGTACGAGCTGGGTCGCGAGTTGGGTCGGGGCGAGTTCGGGATAACGTACCTTTGCACGGATAAGGAAACCGGAGAGGAGTTAGCTTGCAAATCGATATCGAAGAAGAAGCTGAGAACCGCAATCGACATCGAAGATGTGAGGAGAGAGGTTGAGATCATGAGGCACTTGCCAAAACACCCTAACATCGTTACTTTAAAGGATACCTATGAAGACGACAATGCCGTTCACCTTGTCATGGAGCTCTGCGAGGGTGGAGAGCTCTTCGATCGCATCGTCGCACGTGGCCACTACACCGAACGCGCCGCCGCCGCCGTCACCAAGACCATCGTTGAAGTCGTCCAGGTTTTCATTTTTGCCCTTTGATCTTTTTTAGTATATGTTTGGGTTTGGATTAATTTGAAACATAACATAAGTTATTTAAATTTAAATATAGTATTATATTTTTTTTGCTTTTATTTATTATTATTATTATTATTATTATTTTCATAACACTAGATGTACAAAATTGGCTAATTACTTGGAGATATACTGATGGAGAAGTACACATGTGGTCTGGGGTTGTTCACCATGATGATTAATGGTGTTTTTACTTTGTTGTTTTGTGATAGAGAGCTGTTATATGAAGCTTACTTATCAATTTTTTTTATTATTTTTTCAAATAAATTATGTTATTTTATGAACAATAAGTGCCTTATGTTGGCTGCGTTAAATGGGAACCTGACTGTTGAAGTTATTATGTTTAGCTATGGGGATTCTTAGCTCTTTATTTGCACTGATTTACTCGAGCATGTTTCATTTTTTTTTGTGGTACAAACAAGGGGCAAAGCCACAGTAAAATAGGGATTTAATCATGATTGTTTTGTGTTTTGTTGTGCTTCAGATGTGCCACAAACATGGTGTTATGCATCGGGATCTTAAGCCTGAGAACTTTTTGTTTGCAAATAAGAAGGAAACAGCAGCTCTGAAGGCTATAGATTTTGGATTGTCAGTGTTCTTTAAACCAGGTAATGCGTTTAGCTAGCAATCAGATCTCTGAATGTTGTTGTTTGATTTTCATCATATTGCTGCTTCCATTTATCTACAGTTGGCTGAAAGTTTGCAATTTTTATCAGGGCAAAGATTTGATGAGATAGTTGGAAGTCCATATTACATGGCTCCTGAGGTATTGAAGCGAAATTATGGCCCAGAAGTAGATATTTGGAGTGCTGGAGTAATTCTATACATCTTACTCTGTGGTGTCCCACCATTTTGGGCAGGTTAGTTTTGTTTTTAAATGATGTTTCTTAGCTTTTCAGTGACTGAGTTCTTAAATGATCCACTTATACGTCACTGTGGAGTTCATGCAACTAATGTACCATAATATATTTATAATAGCAATAGAACTTGTTGGGTAAAAAATAAATGATTATTTTTAATATCATTTGGGTCAAGAAAGAGTGCTTTGTTGTCCATGGCATGGCATCTACCTGGACTAAAACTTTCTTATTGATCAGTGATCTTGGACTCAATTTCATGGTCAATCATGTGAAAATGAGATGCTTAGATGGCTAATTGCATTACTGGCAGTGCCAGCTAGTATTTTGCGATTGTTTATTGGATTGGTAGAGTAATTAAAAAATTCAACCATTTTTTTCCCATTTCTTTTTTGGGCTAAAATATATTCTAGTTAGTTACTATTTCCTGTTCTCGTGTTTCCTTATACCATATTTGCATTTTTATGTTTGATATTAATAGAGGGATGGTTTTGAAAATTTCATTGTTCATGTTTTCCGCCTTCACTTCAGTGCTATTTCTATTTTATCGTTAATTGTTGCTTTTTTCTGTCGGATTAGTTTCATTTTCTAAATATTGTTTCTCTTCCTCTTTTTTAAAATGAAGAAACCGAACAAGGAGTTGCACAAGCAATTATTCGATCTGTTGTCGATTTCAAAAGGGACCCATGGCCAAAAGTTTCTGATAATGCGAAAGACCTTGTGAAGAAGATGCTAGATCCTGACCCGAAGCGGCGGCTTACTGCACAGGAAGTGTTAGGTAACATGCAGTTCATATAGAATGCTTTTGAGGGATGTAGTTGTAGATTCTGTGCAACATTTTCTGCTCAGCAAATTGACATTTTTTTCCTTCAAAATTTGAAAAGAATGTAATGTGAGGATTGTAACATCATTTTTTTACTAAATGCAGATCATCCATGGTTACAAAATGCAAAGAAAGCACCTAATGTTTCATTAGGAGAAACTGTTAAAGCAAGGCTCAAGCAATTTTCTGTAATGAACAAGCTTAAGAAAAGAGCTTTGAGGGTAATATTCTCAACAATATTTGAATAGCCCTTGGGGAATCATCTCTGAAATGTTAATCCATATGACCATTCTAATTCATGAGCCATTCATTTTTTTTAGTGGCTGATATTTCTTCAGGTTTAAGTTGTTGTTGATGTTGATGTTGATATTTCATTTGAACAGGTGATTGCAGAGCATTTGTCAGTAGAAGAAGCTGCTGGAATAAAAGAGGGATTTCAGCTTATGGATACAGGCAACAAAGGCAAGATCAACATTGATGAACTACGAATAGGGTTGCATAAACTAGGCCATCAAATTCCTGATGCAGATCTCCAAATTCTTATGGAAGCTGTGAGTATGCTATTACTATTACCTTTTATCTGGAATCTTTTCTCCACAATCAATAATTAAAAAATAAGTACCTTTTCAAATTTTGGGGTCTCTTCACTTTTTCCCAGTATATTTTCTTTGTAATGAGTCAAACTTGGGTAATTTTACTTAATGCAGCTGTATTAGTCAATTCGCAAACACTAACAGGGTTTTTTAAGTAGGTATGTTTGAACTAATAAATTGCCAGAAACAGGCATTCTTAATCCCCGCAAGTGCCATTTCCTTCTCTTTTGTTAAAAGAAACTTCATAGTAAAAAGTTCTACATGGATGTACCATTTCTGTTAAATTATTGTTTGCATACATGCCCTTAGAAGGTTATCTCTTCAACTTCTAATTTTTGGGGATGATTTTGCAGGGTGATGTAGATAAGGATGGGCACCTAGATTATGGAGAGTTTGTAGCCATTTCTGTTCATCTGAGAAAGATGGGAAATGATGAGCACCTTCGTAAAGCCTTCCAATTTTTTGATGAGAACCAAAGTGGGTATATTGAAATTGAGGAACTGCGTAAAGCCTTGTGTGATGAGGTTGACGAAAACAGTGAAGAAGTTATTAATGCAATTATGCATGATGTGGACACGGATAAGGTCAGTCTATTTTCAATTTATATATCAATTATATTTACTTCCCCCGTTTTCTTCTGGGGTTATACTTTGAAAGGAGATTTTGTCTTGTTTTATTCAACATGCATAGAAATAGGACAGCTTTGTTGCATTCTTAGTTTTGTTCACGTTCCTTTGTGTTATGTTAAACTTATTAGTTTGCACCTATAGGGTGTTACATAGTGATCAAAGGGTTGATTTTAATATATATATTTTTTAAAATTGTTATAGTAATAGATCTACTGTTCTATTTGGAACCACCCTTTGATCTTGCTCCCATGAAATTGCAGGATGGAATGATAAGTTATGAGGAATTTGCTACAATGATGAAGGCTGGCACAGATTGGAGAAAAGCATCTAGGCAGTATTCGCGAGAGAGGTTTAACAGTCTCAGCCTGAAATTGATGAAGGACGGGTCATTGCAATTAAACAATGAAAAACAATGACGGTAGATGACTTAGAAATGCCATATTTTATTTTTGGAAAGGATATCATGGTAAAGAAGTCCTTTTTTCCCCTATAAACCTTTATCTTCATTGTAATTCTTTTATATAATTTTCTTATGTAACATTTCAAGAAACCCCTTTTACGAGTAAGAAAGAAAAAAAAAAAAATAGGATATTGGCCTGAGCAGCAGTGATGTGTATGTGATTTGGAGTATGACTTTTTCTTTTGTTTGTTGAGGTTGTGGTAGGAGACATGAGAGGGATAGGACAAGTATTTATTTGTGGCTGTAAATATTTTAAATTATCATGCTTTATCCGTAATCCGACATCTTTAGGCAAGCTTTGTCTGCATTCTTATTGTCTAAACTGTTGTGCTTAGAGCCCATGAATTATCTCTAAAATTTTATATCTATACGATAAAAGATTAATCATGAAAATCAATAACATCAATTTACTAAGGACATAACAGATATAATTGTGAGAAAAATTACCTGATTGGAAAAAATAAGTGATGATGAATAATAAACTTAATTATTATCGGTGCTGCTAAACAAATGATTTTTAAGTGATTGAACAATTATCCATGCACTTATTATATATAGATTAGGTTTTGTAGTCTATCACTCAATATTTGACACTTAAAAGGTGAGCCTACCTAAAAGATATTACAACATAGAATTTAAGACATTACAAATTTGCACCGTTATCACATATTGATTAATTTTATACTATTATGCATATATATAGTGACTACTTTAGTTTTATTAACACTGAAAATGGATCAGGCCCAAGTCAATCTTATATACGAATAGTTGTTAATTATTAGGATTACAATGAATTTTGATATCATATTAAATTGAAAATGGACTAAGTTAAACTCAATTCTAAAAGTTACTCAAAGAAAATTATCCAAAGAGATATTTTGTCTGTATATCTAGCTGACATTAAATCTTTTCAACTTTTACTACCAAGTCATCCATGCTAAGAAAATATTCATTTGAAAACCCCAATTTTCTGTTCACTCGTTTATCCCACGGATATGAATATAGATGGTGTTATACATTATCAAAATAATCCAAACAGCATGTTTGAATAATTGTGCATGACAAGTGACTTGCTAATGTGAATTATTAAGATTTCAGAATCTATTGAACTACTGGGTCACAGTCAATATTCAATCATTGAGTCATTTTGTCTCATAGAATGAATGCAGGTATATGATTTCCCAAATTGGGAAAAGAAAATAGAACAAAATAATATAATGGCTGACATTCGTCAAAAGCCAAATGGTATTACCATTAGAAACGGCAACCTCCCAATAATGCAAGCAGACTTAGAGAATGTAAAAGGCCAGCATAAGAGTTCATGACATATTCTATTGTCGCTCAATTTTTTCTCCAATTAACGTTCTTGTTCTTCTACTAATAAAATTTAAGGGAAAAGTATTTCTCCGGGATAAAGTTATCTTCAGTAAGCTCAAAACGATGTCGTTTTGAATTATAAGATTAAAAAATTATAATGATAAAGACTAATATAACCATGTAATATATTATAATTAGAAAAATACTTTAATTTCCGTCCTAAAACGATGTCGTTTTGAGCTCACCGGAGATAACTTATCTCTATTTAGTGGAGAAATCCTTTACCCTAAAATAAAAGTATGATAAATAATCTGTTTGCAATGTTAAGGAACGCAGCATGAATTGATATATAAATTTTCACATATGCATATGCGTAACTATCCTTTGCTGATCTTGTTTCATAAGACACCGCCTAAGATCTTATGTCCATTTTCAAGTATAGTGATTATTCATATGGGATCCGGTTCATCATCTATGCCATCCATCATTTTAATATATGGTGATCTGATTCATCTATTCCATTGTTTGGTGGTCATTCCAGATATAAATCGATACAATGTTGGACATGTGAAATGGTTAATACTAATATATCTTTCACTTTTTCGGGTTGTACTCTTTTACTTTCAACATTGATGTTTGTTATACAAACACGAAATGAAATAATGTTCATCATTCTTAATTACTTCGTATTCGCGAAGGTAGAACAATTTTTTTTGAAGATGAAATGTAAATAGTAGCCTGCCTCTATTTTCAACTGTTTTGTGTTTAATTTGGCGTAAAACAATTCGTAAACGGTAGAGCATGATTATCAGGAAGAGCAAACACTTGTGGTTACAAGTGGGGTAGCACAGGAAATTTTATATCCTGTTATCCTGTGTTTAGGGGGATTATGTAGTTTAGTGAAATATTGATTTCTAAGTTCTAATATAGCTTTATGATCTAATCATCCTCATATATAACAAAAACAATTAGATCAAATGCAAAAAAATTAAGTTATAAATATCTTCCGCTATTGCTTTTCTTTAGTTGTTCTGAAGATGGATTGAAGTTGTTCGTGGGTTCTTTGTGAGTTTTCCAAATTCTAGCTCTTAGTTATAAATGCTGTATAACATTAATCCAAGAGGGAGTTCAAGGACCCCAAAAGATCGAATTCACACTATATATAGACTTTTACCATCAAGGTGTTAGTTATTAGTGACGTGCACAAAATCTGAGTTGGTCAGATTTTATTGACCGTTGTGAATAGTTGTTGTTGAAAAAGTGTGGAAGTGGTTGCTGAAAATCAGTGGAGTGGTTAGACACTCACTGTTGCTGAAAAATCAGTGGACCACATCTTTGACTTATTTAAGGCACACTAACATTCTCCCACTTGGTCTATATATCTCGTTATATACAAAAGTGAAAAACAAAATACATAAATCATGGCGATAAGTCTTTTAATATATGCTAGTATTATCTTCCATGTATTATATTGCATTGTATTTCTCAAGCCCATAACTTAATGAATAAACCCAATGTTTATTCTAAATCCAAACTTTATTGATGTTTCTAAACTGAATGAAAAACATCACAAATAGAGTTTCATAGTATTATTCTTAGGGTGTGCATGATAACCTTCACATAATCAGTTTTTTTTTTTTTTTTCAATTTTTGTTCCTGGGAAAAGAAATGAATAGAAATAGTGTTTGAAAAAATCAATTTATTTTTTTTGTTTCTGAGAATGAACCGGTTCAATTTCTATACAGGGGAACAGAAAAAAGAATCAATATATTTTTTTTTTTGCTTTTTCTTTCTCAGACACAAAATAAACACTTGTCTTTCTCAATCACTCTCCACCACTATCATCATTACCACCACCACCATCATCCTGACACGACCACTGTCACCACCACCACCACCATCACTGTCACCAACCACCACTACCATCGCTGCAGCCACTGCTATCACCACCAACATCATCGTCGTAGCCATTGTTGTCGCCACCGCCACCATCTCCACTACCGTCACCAACCACCACCATCATTGCCCCAGCCACTGCCGTCACCACCATCATCACGCCACCACTTCCACTCCATAATTACTGCCATCGCCACCATCACCACCGTCACTGTTAAAGTATAATATAATTCATTAAAGAGGCTCTCACCTAACAGCTTAAGCTTTTGAGTTGAATTGGTTCTTTACATGGTATCAGAGCCTCGTGTCCCGATTTCAATCCTTTCCGCCCCCCACTTTCTCTTGTGGAATTTTCTTAGCCCAGGTAGGCTAGGCCTACAACATCATCCACCCTTTAAGCTCAATGGGCTCTTGTGTGAAGGGGCGTGTTAAAGTATAATATAAGCCATTAAAGAGGCTCTCACCTAACAATTTAAGCTTTTAGGTTGAATTAGTTCTGTATAGTCATCAACCACCACCATCTTCACCGCAGCCACTGCTGTCACCACCACCACCATGTCATCACCATCACCACGCCACCATATTGTTCAATTGGTTGAGCAACAATTTCTTCTTGTTCCTCATGAATAACTTGATCTACTAACTTATCAACAAGTTGTAAATCTTGTAAGACTAGTTGTACAAGGTTGAGCTAGAGGGGTATTGTGAACAACAACCAATGTCCAACTTGAAGTGGACGGTCGAGCAACTAAATGAAATTTCTCAGAAACAAAGTTTCTGGATTGATCGCTTCCACTAATCAAGTCATTCTTAAGAAATTTGGTATTTCTTGATTCCACAATCCTAGTACTGTGAGATAGACAGTAAAATCTGTATCCCTTAGACCTTTCAGCATATCCAATGAAATAGCCATCAATGGTCCTTGGGTCAAGTTTTTTTCTTTGGGGTTGTAGATTTTGACTTCAGACGGGCATCCTCAAACATGTACATGTTGCAAACTTGGTTTTCAACCTTTAAATAACTCAAATGGTGTCTTTAAGATAGCCTTAGTTGGAACTCGGTTTAATATGTACACAGCCATCTTAAGTGCTTCAATCTACAAGGACATAGAAAGCTTGGAGCTACTAAGCATACTTCACACAATATCCTTTAATGTTCGGTTTATTCTTTATGCTACACCGTTCTAATATGGAGAACCAAGCATAGTGTATTGGGCAACTATCCCATGCTTTTCAAGAAACTTTGCAAATGGACCATGTGCTTGTCCATCTTCAGTGTATTTACTATAGTATTGTCCACCTCTATCTAATCTCAGAATCTTAATTTGCTTATCACATTGTTTCTCTACTTCCAATTTAAATACCTTGAAGGCATCTAATGCTTTTTATTTACTACATATGTAGAGATACATGTATCGCGAATAAGAGATGAAGTATTTCTGACCATATGCGTTCATGTCTCAACAACAAATATTAGTATATATTATTTCTAATAATTTGATACTCCTCTTGGCATACTTTTTGAACTTGTTTGTTTGTTTTCCCTTAATGCAATCTACACAAGTTTCAAAATCACCAAAATCTAAAGTATTGAGTGCTCCATCATTTACTAATCTCTTAATTCTTTGAAGGGAGATATGTCCCAATCTCTGATGCCACAACATAGAGGATTCATCATTCATAACACATCGTTTCATGCCAACATGCATAACATCGTAAGTGGTGTAACTTTGCAAATTAATATAGAAAAGACCGTCAGATAATGTATCATTCCTAACAAACTTAGATTTATAAAACAAACTGAAAGGTGTCTTATAAAATGAAAAGGAATAAGCAAAAGGTACAAGTCTCGAAATTGAAATTAAGTCTTAAGAAAAATAAGGAACATAAAAAGTCTTTTCCAAATTCAAAACAAAACCATTATTTGAAATCAAATTGCAAGTCCCAATGGCCTCCATAGGTGTACTCATCTTACATCCTGAATAGATGCATTGGTCATACTTCCCACTGGCTTCCTTAGGTTTTCCATACTTTACAAGGTATTCGAAACATGATTGTAAAACTAGAATCAATCC